GTATGGGACCACCATCGTATATGTGTCGACTGAAACACTGTTATGTATTTATGTGTGTATATATAAATGTATGCACACACACATAAACATATCATAAACCTTGACTTTAAGATACAAATCTAGTTAAGTGGTAAAACCCATATGTAAATATCTATACTATGAGGCAGAATACCAAATGTACTATATGAATTCAGAGGAATAAAAGGAGATTAACCTGTGTTTATTTACCAACTACTACATGTCAGATGTTTTTACATAAGTAATTACCTCATTTGATCCTTACAACAACCCTATTAGGTAGGTGTTATCCCCATGAGATATATGGGGACACTGAGAGGATGTTTAAGCTTTTCAAGTCCACCCAGTTAATAAGCAAGGATCAGAAGTTCAAATCCTTGTCTATCAGTATTCAAACAATGTCATTTCTACCTGAACTCTTAGGAAAGTTTTCATGGTGAAGATAGCACTTTGGCTCAATTTAGAAAGAAGGGAAGGGTTTTGTAAGAAGCAGCATGAAAAACAGAAGAGAGAAGAGATAGACAACTCCAGAGTAAAACAAGAAAGGTAGACTAGAGGTAGGAAATGAAATCGTGTGATCATAACAAACAGCAGGCAGATTAGTTTACCTGACATGTAAGAAGCATAGAAACCTGTAGTCAAGGAAGGATTGTAAAGGGCCTTGAATGCCAAACCAAGAAATCTGTAGCTTATACAAGAGACAATTTACAGTGATAGTTGTGCATATGCCCCCTTCTGAAGGAATCTGCAGATGAGTAGCCCTTGTTAGGTGGACAACAGATAGGGTGATCATATCACTTGTCCTTACTAGCACACTGTTTTAGGAGAAAGGGGGCAATAGTAATAAGTCTGTAGGGTCATGAGGTGTAAACTGGGGCTGTCCCTGCCAAACTAGGAGGTAGGGTTGCTCAAGGAATAAGGCCACAGGACTCAGCCCGCTGTCTATACCTGACTCAAGGCCATCCCAAGGATAAGCTGGACTAGGGTCTCTGTTGGAGGCCAAGGAAGAAAACTATACATATTTTTTGTTCTGGATTCTAACAAACTAAGAATAGACACAATGGAGGTCAAGTATTGTTGTGGAGGTTCAGTAACTCTCAAAGTACAAGGATCCTTGATAAAGCTGGATTAGAGAACCCCTTGGATCTGAAGCCAAAATGGAGCCTTCCCCTGAATTGAAGATTATCAGCTCCTTAGGAAGGGTAGGTCTGATTGACTCAGAGACAGGCAGAAAACTGGAATTAAAAAGTGGAAGTCAAGCTAGGCACAGTGGTTCGTCCATGACAGGGTTCAGGAGATGTTACCCCAAAATATGGCAACTTGGCACACTGAATATTTGAAGCTGAAGGAATTTGAGAAACAGCATGTGCAGGAAGAACTTTCTGACCTTCCCCTGAAGCAGGTGATAAAACCCTCACATGAGAGGTGCCCTCCCTATACCTGGAGGAAAGGAGCATCCTTATTTCCGAAGATGAGGGACATCAAGAAGAACCTGAATGAACAGGCCTTGCTAAGTGTCCCTCAATTCACTGCACTTACCTCACATCCTTTGTCCTATCAGATCTTTCTGCTCTTCATCAAACCAGCATGAAAACACTCAGGTTTAACCACTTCTTTGGGTTTTCATTTCCTTATGAAGGCTCCTGTGTCAGGTGAAACTGATATTAAATAAATTCATATGTTTTTCTCTTGTGAATCTGTCTTTTGTTACAGGGGTCCCAGCCAAGAACTTAAAAAATATATATTTTTCCTCCTCTACACCTACTTTATGGAAATTATATACAAGGTGAACCTACCTCCTTAAGTGCAGCTGAGAGGGAAGAGGGGAAGAGAGGCTAGAAGGAAGGGGAGGCAGAAAGGGAGAAGAAGGGAGAGAGAAGAGGGAAACGAACTAATGAAGGGGAGGGAAGAGAAAAGAGAGAAGCACAAAAGAAGAGCAGATGCGGGGGAGGAAGAGGAAGGGAGAGAAAGAGGCTGGGTGCAGTCTGGGGAGCAAATGATCCTTCCTATTGATAAGATGGCCCAAAGAAGCTAGGTTCTTTATAGTCTCACAAGTGAGATAAGACATTGGTTCTCCCGACCCCCATGACAAGGGACAGTTAAAGGATAGAGAAAAACTGGAAGTATTTGCTCCTATGCTCTGCCACCTCAGGAGACAAATAGTGACCTATCCAAAAGCAACATAGAAGGAGAAATATAGATGCCCTCCTAAAAGCTGAATGAGAAATGATGAACAGGTGAGTCATCTTGTTTTTTGGGGACTTTGAAATTCTGGAAGTGAGACTCTGTTGAAGGGGTGGGTGGCCCCTGAACCTGGGAGGTCAGGTAGAGTTGGTCCTGGTACAGGTTCACACTATGAATAAGCAAAGGAAACCAGCTATTGGAGACGGGGAACAATGTGGCTGATGCATGAAGAAAAGCAGAGAGACCAGGGGAGAGAGAAAGACAGGAGAGCACAGCTTAGTCCGAGAGCTGCCTTGACTCATCTCTAATTGGCCTTGCTTGTGTAGTCTTTTAGGGATTCCTACACACATATTTCCTTTCAGGCTTTATTAATTGCTACCAGAAGAGCACTTTCCAGTACATTATTTGGCAGAAGAACAAATTGAATTGAAGTTTCAAAGTAAAGGAGTGGCACATAGAATTGCTTGTGGAAGATTAATCCAAAGCCAATTGAATGAGTTGGGTTCTAGAGAGGGAGAGAGATTGGAAGCAGAGATACAATTTAAACGGTTAGTTTAGGTGTGAAGAATAAGACAGGAACTAGGTCTTTGTCTATTATAATTTAGAGAGGAAATGATTTGATATGCTAAAAAGAAATTTGATTTCACTAGTGATGGGATTTGGGATATGACAGAAAGAAAGGAGTCAAAATGGTTAATGATTTGAACGTAGATTAACTACGGAACAATGGAAACAGAAACATCAAAAAGACAACTCATTATGAGGTGGTGCAGGAATTCAGTTTAATTTTAACCATTATGAGCTTGAAGTGCCAGTGGAACGTCCATCCATTCGTTGGCATTTGGCCTCTGGAGAGAAATGGAGTACGAAGCTATCGATTTGGTGTTTTTCCATGTGGTAGTTGACTGTGGGGCAGAGGCCACAAACTAGCAGCCTGCCCAGTAGTCCTAATTCAGAGGCCAATGGTTTTGTTTGGCAAAAACAATGTTTTTAAACTTTGAATGCTTTTTGTAGGGTGTGACCTCCGTAGTAAGTCCCAGGCCACACAACTTCCTATTCTCTTATGCCTGGTTCTATTAAAACATTGGTCTCTGAAAGCAAGGGAGGAGGTATAATCCAGTGTAGTGGTTAAGAGAGTGAGCGTGGGCCCAGATTACCTGCACTGGAATCTCTGCCCAGCCACCTGGGAGCCGTGGGACCTCCAACAAGTTATTCAACTTCTAAGAGACTGGAGGAACACTGCCTGGCTCATGGTAAGTACTCAATAAGATATTAGCTATTCTCACTGTTAGAGTTCACTACTTCCATGAAGGAAGAGAAAGAATCTTAGATATTCCTCAAATAGAGATTGACAAACAGAAAGAGAGGCCCATTGGAAATGGCAAGGAGGAGGGCAAGGCCCTGTGCAGAATGGAGAAGTGGGTGGGCAGACACACAAGGGTATCTGAGGACATATGGCTATAGGACATCAAAAAGGCTCATACTGAACGACCTATGTCAGGGAGGAAAAACTTTTCTTCTGCTTTCTTAGGTTCATATCTGGGGGCCTGCAACAAAAGAGATTGGTGAGAGAAAAGACGAAATTTAATCACATAAGTATGGGAGCTCACAGAAAAATGTGAATCAAGGAGGTGGTTAGGATTTGGGCTTTATATATCATCTTAACAGAGGAAATGGAGGGGAGAGGGGAAAAAAATAACTTTTAGGAAAGATAAATGGTGCCCTTAGGAGAATAGATGGGAGATAATGGTAGTTTTAAGACAATATCTGTTTAGGTGTGGTGTGTGGTATGTGACTTCTCTCCAGTGATAGGAGTCAGTCTTCTCTGGTTGGGAATTCTCAGGGAGAGGATTTAAGACAATTGAATTCTTTTGGAAGGCTCTGCTTTTAGGCAGATAAGGGAGTTCAGAAAAAAATCGTATTCTCAAATGCTTTCAGCACAAAATAATTCTTATGCCATAGTGGCATATTCTGGACACTTTCACTTGCATTTTATTAAGATAAAAATTTTTAAAAGGAACTCTGGATAATGATAAAAAGGGAGATGAGATTGAGGGGCTTTAGCATTTTCAACAGTTATTATGGGGAATCAACTAGTTATGAGATGATCCCTAAATTGCATTCTAGAACTATTGCAACATTATGAGTGGCTAAGTGAAATGACTTGACATGATCCTGCCTTTATTCTACGAGATATTCTGTGGATGAAAAAGCCCATAGTGGGCAGAGGATACCTGACTAAGAAGACAGGAGATATGAGATACTAAATATCCAAGAGAAAGGGATATGGGCCCAGCGAGCTAAAGCAGTCTCAGACACATGCTGGAAAGTTCCTAATAAGCAAAGCCTAACTCAGAAAGCAGTGTGTTGTAAGGAGCAAGAATACTGCAACCAAGATGCTGTCAACACAAGTAATCTGTAATCAATCTATAAATCAAAATTGGGATGAGTTTATTATGAGCCAGGTCTGAGGACTACAGCCCAGGGCCTTCTTTCCCCAAGGAAGGAAGCACGCCAAAGAAGTATGACATACAGAGTGGTTTTATACCATCTTGGAACAAAGAGCATACATCACATATGACAGGAACATCCCTTTTACAATAGTCATGGGATTGCTTTGCTGGCACAGCAGATCGGGGTCACAAGGTGAACACAGCAATCGGTAATTAATCCTTAGTTTCTAGGAAGAGATGCTTATCCTCAAAGAAATGCCAATACGGGGGGAAGCTACATCCCCATCTTTAAGGGCATCATTCTTGTCTTTGGGACGTTGTAAAGGAGATGTACAATGCATGCTCAACAGGACATGTCAGGTCTTTCTGGAAAAACAAGGTCAGCCCGAATTAGTTTTAAACCAAATGCCTTCCTCATGTACTCCAACATATCCTATTGCTTTCCATTTATCTATCAGAGCTAGCACAGCTTTCTCAAGAGAAGGAAAAGGATTCAAGACTTTTCTTTGAGACAACATTTAAAGTATTCTTTTTAACCCTTCTTTCTTGCCACAATTTTTTATTTCAAGGTTTATAACATCTATACAGAAATTTAATGCAGAGGTCTCATTTGACTTGTCATTATCCTCCATAGGTTCTGCCTTCTCAGCCAGTTAACTTCTCAGCCAGTTTCCTGACCTTTCGGTCATGGGAGCTATTTTTATAAAATAATCAAACTAGATTCCCTGCCTCTTCGACTGTGCTTTGCAAGAGTTCTACCTCCTGACTGTTTTGTTTTTTGATTTCCTTTATCCATCTCGTGCTTTCTGTGCCCTCGTGCTCTCTCATGATACTTCTCAGACACTGAGCTCTCCTATTGCTTTTCTCCTGCCCTCGTTATTTTCCTGTTTTGCCTACTACGCAGCAGAGCTGCTTACTCCTCTCTTTCTCTTTGTCAACTCCCTATTCCCATGATGGCAGTTGTCCAAGAAATCCTTTATGGCCTGCCGCTTTATTTATACATTTGACTGCAAGCAAGCTGAACAAAGAACTAACTCTGCAAGAGCTGAAGCCACAGCTGTAAACAAAGGCAGCTTGGGAAGTAGAAGAAATTTAATTCAAATCCTTAACTAGGTTTGAAGGTATCTAGTACCTTATACTTAAAATAGCAAATTCATGCCCCATAAAGGAGCTGACAGAGGTGGAAGGTTGAGTGCAATATTTCTGCCGCAGTCAACATCATTGGACATTGAAGAGATCTGTTAAGCTTAGTCCTTTTCCCCAACTCTGTTGACCTTGGACAGGAAGCTGTTTCTCCATGGGCTGCTGGCTTTCTAACCAGTGATGAGAAGTGGACTCTTGAGAAAAGTAACCAAACACGTTCACGACGTCAATGATCTCAGCGTGAGTCTTTTCCCTTGGGTGCAACTTTCCAAGCAGTTCACATTTTTCTCATGGTTTTAGGAAACAAACATACTCCATCATGTTTATTTCCTGGGTAATATTCCAGTATCATGGGAAACAGAAAGTAGGAAATGTATGATTTTGTTCAACTTGGCTATAACTTTCAAAGATAGAAAAAAAAATGAGTTCTTCTTTAGACTGTATTCTACTTTGGTAAGATAGTCAAGTGATCTTAAACTGACATAAGAGGTATTATTTTTATACTATATATTGTTAGGCATATTCTGTGAATAATTTACATTCTACTTAAGAAGTGTTTTACATGAAAATCTAAAATTCCAGAGTCGTTTGGAAAAAATGAGTACTCTAACAGTTAATATCTGAAAACCAGTTCTCTGCTTTCTTCTGTCATTATTATTTCTGATTATCCATCAAGGTCAACCTCTGATATAATATTAGTTTCACATGGTTAGGGAAAAATAAAATTAAAGAGATTAATTAACTCATGCTTTATGGCATTAGTCAATGCATTTTAGACAGCCAATCCCAATTCATTCAAACAAAAGACCACTATGAAAAACTCACGACACATGAGTCAATATCCAGAACGTGGATAATTGTATGAATAGAAGATTAAGTGGAAAATGAGTTAGTGAAAGAGGAGAAAGAATGCAAGGGTGAGCCATGCAGATCATTTTGAGTCAGTTTTTCCTGCTGTTACCACTCAGTCTGAGGCAGAAATTCTTTTTTGTTTTGGTTGATTTTTTTCGATCCTTATTATTTCTTAGAATTGGTAATGTATTTCAGATGTAAGACTCTGAAGGAATATATATTCTTTCTACTTCATCTCATTAGTATGAGAATGATATTTTTCAAAGCAATATTTAAGTTTTTCCAAAAAGACAACTTTATCTTCTCTATATGATAGGAAAAGCATGGATGGAGAGATGCAAATCAGATGTGTATTGGGCCAAAGGCAGCCACTGGATTTTCCCACTTCCCACTTACCCCAGAGAGTGGGGTAAATGAAGATGAGCAGCAGGAAGCCAGTGTATACATTCATTCATTCACCTTCAATAAGTACAGAAGCTGGGACATTGGGAAATTCGCAGATGCTGAATCACTTGAGGGGCTAGTGACCAGTGCTCCACTTGTGCGAAGACATCCCACCCCCTGGCAAATCATTGCCAATCACGCAATCCCATCCTGCTGAGCTTCACTTTGGTTATAGTTGAACCCCAAGTTTGAGGAATTACAAATCAAGCTCAGAAGGTGGTTTCTAATATAGAAAATATAGGCCTTTCAAACATAGCGAATATCCAAAATCCTCACTCTTTAGAACCAAGCAACATACAGATTTAAGTTTTGAGGCTTTTTGATACTTGAAGTGATGAATGTAGTTGAGTTCCACACATGTTGTATGTATCCCTATCTCCTCATTGATGGAACTACGGCATTTCAGAGATGGACTTGGTTTTCTCTTGGGATGATGTGATCTAATCTCCTCATTTACAAATTAAGAAGTCAGCATTCAGACTTCAACCCCCAACCCAGCTCTACTCTCCCCCAGAATTCTCTCTAGAAAGAGAAGACTCATGATAAGAGAGACGGAGAAGAGGCTCTGGCCAGCATAACCTCAGGAAACCTATCCACTGCCCTACCACCTCAGCAGTGTGCAAGATTGGTGAGTTTCCAAAGTAAGTCTTAGATAATGGGGATTCTAACTTTTCCACTGTATCTTCCAGAAACCAATGGTACTAGCTTCCTATTGCTGCTATAACAAATTACCACAAACTTACTGGCTTAAAACAACACAAATTTACTATCTTACAGTTCTGGAGGTTGGAAGTCTAAAATGCATCTCACTGGGCTAACTCAAGGTGTTGGTAAAGCTGTGTTCCTTCTGGAGGCTCTAGGGGAGAATCCATTTCCTTGCCTTTTCCAGCTTCTGGAGGCTACCTGTTCTCCTTGGCTTGTGGCCACCTTTCCATCTTCAAAGCCAGGAACCTCAGGCTGAGTCCTCATGCTGCCATCTCACTGTTTTTCACTCTTCTGTCTCCCCACCCTCTTCCCCTTTTAAGAACCCTGTGATTACATCAGGCCCACCTGGTTAATCCATGATCATCTCCCTATTTTAAAGTCCACTTATTAGCAGCCTTCAATCTCCTTTCTGTGTCACCTAACATAGTCACAGGTTCGGGGGATTTGGATGTGGACATCTTCATAGGGGCATTATTCTGCCTACCAAACCTACTAACATTAAGTTTGTGTTCAGAATAATTTTTATCACTACAAAATTGGAATTTTCATTTTGGAAAGTTTCACTTCCTCTGGATCCTCAAACTTCATATGACATGCTTCCTGGGAATTTTTACTGCTGTATAAAAGGGAAGATACTGAAATCAGTACCAGTTCTTGATTGTAATTCAAACACAGTATAATGATAGTAGTGTGCCTTTTAGTAGATCTCAGAGGTTTTAGACATCCTTGTGAGGAAATATGATATTAGCCTATACTTTTGTAAATGACAGACTTGCAACACAAACCTTTCCAGGGGGTGCTAAATAAATCTCTGTGAGGGAATAAAACAGTTAATTCAACCAGCTTCTACAAACTTTGTGTGTGTGTGTGTTGAAATAGTGAGTTGTCTGTGATGTGCAATTTGTGATAAATTCAAAAGCAATGTTAAAAAATTAGAATTCAGGCTCCCCGCATTTTTTTCCTTCTCAGCATCCCCTGTCTGAGGTAAAACAGTAAGGGATTCTTCACCCAGGTAAACATGACTCAAGCCTCAAGCACTGATGTCTTAATACAGCAACCTCTTCAGACTGGGCCATTAGTACTAACGTCTTGGCAGGGAGCGTAGGTCAGCGCATTTAAACTCCAGGAGCTTTAAGAACTTTCTGGGATGAAAGAGGGTATACATAGGAGAGGAGCGACATGAGATAAACTCAAATGATGAGAAAAACATCTGGGTTAATTCAGGGCAAATCTAAAGATTTGGAGGTTTTGTGAAAATCTAATTCATGGTCATGATTATTGGAAAACTTTTATTCTGTGCATATTAAGACTTATGTTTTACTCAGTTGAAATTATATTTTCAAAAATTGACTTTGTTTTTTTTGCTCAGGTCTGGAACAGGCAAGGAGAGAGGGGAATTTTGTTACAGGGAGAAGTTTGGTCTAAAGGCCTTACTCTTAGCCACCTAGCCCCGAATTGCTGCAAAACCCCTTGGCCCCCACCTGCAGGTTTGCCTGTGTAGAGAGGGAAGCAGGGAAAAAAGGAGGGGGGCAAGATGGGGAGTCCAGTAGCCCAGCATTGAAGCACCAAGTCAGCCTTGCTGTAGCTAGGCAGCCCAGTGCCGAAGTGGGCCCTGCTTGGTAACACCAGGCTCCTGCTGTGTTCTTAGCCTAAGTCTCCACTCAGTGTCCTCTGCTAGCAAGGTTCTTGCCTTATTATCCCGTACCTGAGACTTGATCTTGGTTAACCTGCCCAGTGCCATTCCTTTTCTTTCTTTTTTTTTTTTTTAAACAAGCATTCCTTTTAAATGATAGTCTTGCCTTTCATTTTTGTTCTAAACCAGCCCTTGCCCACACCATCTTCCCACTCTGCAGGGCACCAGGGTCCTAGACCTGAAACCCTTGCCCTATGACCAGACCAATTTGACCTCTCCCCATAGCTGCCCTCCACCAGCACCCCTGTCAGGACTCCCCCATCGCCAAGGTGACATTTTAAAACAACATGTAGAAAACTACTCTCTGTGCTTTTAGAGTACTTTTGTAATACTCTATTACAGTGGTTCTCAAACTTTAGCATGAACCAGAATCATCTGGAGGGCTTGTGAAAACACAAGTTGTTGGGTTCCATCCTTAGAGTTTCTGATTCAGTAGGTCTGGCGTGGAGCCTGAGAATTTGCATTTCTAACAAATTTCCAGGTGATCTTGATGCTGGTGGTCCGGGGACAACATCTTGAGAACCACTGATTTATGATACACACATGCATCCACCCCCAGATTTAACAAATATGCACATTTTGCTGTATTTCATTATGTCTTTTTTCTTTTATGA